AAACTTGTAGTATGTTTGTTAGAACCATCAATGATAGGGTTTGGATATGAGAGTATACTAGTAGATGACCAGAGATTGTTTTGAAGTTGTTGTATTCTAATTTGGGTAGATACCCCAAGTAGGTCTTTATTGTTTAGCTGTTCAAGAAAATTGGAGATATGGTGCTAAAGTTAAATATCCCAGATAGTTTTAATATTATAGATATGGAGATGTAGAAGAGTACTGGTAGGTATTGTGTGGCTAAGTTTGGCTTTATGCTTGACAAGGCCAATATGTTGTGAGAGGATCTTATTGCAAAGAGATTGACTAAGTACGATATTCTGAAGTTGATATTCAATAGAGGGGATGATAACAGTGTTAATAATATACCAAGCTTGAGTATTAGTGATTTGTTTTGTATTGGTGATTTGAATAAGATATGAAGATTGTGATAGTGTGAGCTAAGATTGTTTAGATTGTTTGTTATTTAGGGTGAACCAGCAGCCAAGAAATTTAAATAGCTTGTGTGGTGGACAGACAGGTAAAGTATAATTATTGGTGCATAAAACATAGCCAGAAGCATCCAAGAATCTGGCAGGAGTTGCACCGAATAATCCTTCTAGCAATAACCCTTTGACAGGAAATAATACGTTAGTATATAAACATGTTTTTGCATCATCTTCGACTCTGAGAGGTTGTGTATCGGTTGCAAATGTGGAAATTGTCTAGCCAGAAGATTATATTGTACACCAAGTCTAACAGCTCAAAAGAATCCGGTCCATTCCTTCACGTCAGTTGGAAACTGTGGGTAAGCAGGTGCTGAATCTTGCGGCAAACTAGAACGGCATGACCTAGTAATTGACCTGCTGCTTCAGTCATAATAGAAGACTATTAGAAGAGCAAGAAGAAAACTATCATCCTTTTATGAAAATAATCATTATATGAGTGCCGCCAAGCGAAAACCAGTTTTCCGAAATTAATTTTTACAGATCAAACCCAGAAAAATGTGATTTAACACACCATATGGGGTTTTTGCCTTGAATTTTTTTTTCTAAAAATAGATTTACTATATTTTTCTTAATAAAAATCTTGTGTAACAATGTCTTGTAGGGTCATTTTCAAGGCAGACCCCATATAACGATAATATATGTTGTGCTTAATTTAGGAATCAGATCAGAAAGCGGAGCCGGCAAAAATCGAAATTGCTGGTTTCTTGGAGGTCTTTTGCAGATCAGTATAGTATAGGTGGGCAGATTAGTATAGTATAGGCCGATTTTTAAATCTATACTATACGGACCAGATATTATATATATGAGCGTTAGTTTCTATAATTTTGCAGATCCGTATAGTATAATTTTAAAATTTGGCCTATACTATACTGATTTGCTCACCTATACCATACTGATCTGCTATAATTTCGTCACTCATACATATGTTGTGCGTCAAACTAAAATTTGCGTCAGATCAAAATTTAAATAGAGATTTATTAGGGTTAGGGTGAAATACTATGTTAGGGTAGGAGTAGGTATTAGTGACTTTATAGTTATTTTGACCTGACACATATTTTAATTTGACGTACAACATACTTTTTTAAATGTTTATAAAAAATTTTATATGTTTTTTGTATATAAAATTTTTGAAAATAAAATTAAAAGCCGGGTTGCCGGGTCATTTTTAAAATTTTATGTTATGAGAACCAAAAAATTAACTTTGCATGGCCTAAGTAAAAAAAAATTAATATTTTAAATATTTTAGCTCCGGACCTATAATGCTATACATTAGCCTAGTTATAGAAATCCTAAAAGAAAATATATACAAAAATATTACCGTAAAATATGGATGCCACCATATAAACGTAATCATAGCAATTCTTTTTTCTATTAACACAACAAAAGAGTGGGCCTTTATGGAAAAGGTTCCAAGTGCTGCGCTTGATGAATCTATAACGAGTGCAATTTTAGCCCGTGACGAAGTTATAAAACGCAATAATGCGTTGGGTAAAAATTGTCGAATAATGGTAATTTGACAAATGAACACGTGCCGCTTTGTATTCGACAATTTGCCCAATATCTGATATTTCATAGGAAGACTTTCGTATGATTGGCAGTTTAAATCAATTTAATTTTACATTATTTATACAGTTTAAAGTACTTTTTAAAAAAAAGAAAACTACTCAGAATAAACAAAAAAGAAGTATATAAAAAGTTTTATTAGGGTTGTAGGACTCCACTATTTAAAAGTATCTAAATCCCTTTTTGTTTTAGAGAAGTTAGCATGGTGATAACCTATCTTTAAGAAGTCGCTATTATGCTAACTTCTCTAAAACAAAAAAGGATTTAGTTACTTTTTAATAGTGGAGTCCTACAATCCTAATAAAACTTTTTATATACTTCTTTTTTGATTATTCTTCGTAGTTTTCTTTTTTTTAAAAAGTACTTTAAGCTGTATAAATAATGTAAAATTAAATTGATTTAAAAAGTCAATCATACGAAAGTCTTCCTATGAGAAGCACGATATGAGATATGAAACCACAATTCTCGCAAGGTAGATGAATTAGAAAATTTTAAATTCGATAGTGACTCAATGATAACGAAAACTATGGTATTAATTAAGTAATGTTTTTGAGCATGTGTATCGATATACTGTAGTATTAGTATTAGTCAATTTAGGGTCAGAAATGATATACTTGAGAAATGAACTTGAAAAATTGAAATATAATACCATTACAGTTGCTTTTTGATTTACTTATCAAAATCATATATACTAGAAATATAGCAATAATTCGACCTTAATTAGTAACGGTATTATCCTTCTGTCTACGACGATCTGTAACGCTCTTAAGTTGTTGTGATCGGTAAATAAAAAATAACTAAATTATTGTTTGATGCAGATCATAGTAGACTGAAGGATAATGAATATTTCATATCGTATAAGTGCGAAGTTATTTCACGCTTATTACAGTATTAATTTATGCATGAATATTCTTTTATAGTCATATGATTGTTCACAGTAGGATTCGCCTCAAATTAAGCCAGAATTAAAACTTCTTTGAGTATATCGATTAATACAGTAGATATGCGATATTCCAGTTTCAGGAACGGGAGTACATAAAATTATACTAAATAAATAAATAAATAAAAAGTCGCAAAATCTCAATGTCTTGCTCGGACCACAATTCACTTTTTGTAATCAGTCGAACTAATAAAAAATTTTATTATATTAAAAATGTAAATCAAAAAAAACGTCAAAAAGAAACCTTTATAATAACTACAGTGGATATTTTCTAGGTCTAATTTTAACTGGCAATTCTTTACAAACGGTTATTGCTCCGTTTTCAGTCTTTAGCGGCGCATTCATATCAATTAACTCAACATCGTACTTTCCAAATACTACTACCATTAATGAAAGTAATTCTATTATCGCTAACTTTCTTCCTGGGCAAATACGTAATCCTCCACCAAATGGTATTAACGAAAATTTATGCCTTGCTTTATTATTCATATCACTATTATTATCTTTTTTATAAAATCGATCCGGCTCAAAAATTTCAGGATTGGGCCAATGGTCTTTATTCGAGTGGATGCCATCAATATTTATGTGAATCGATGTTCCAGCTTCCCATCGATAGCCGGCTATTTCGCAAGGATTTGCAAGATATCTTATAAGATCAACTGTAACTGGCATAATTCGACCAATTTCATTAATAATCGCATTACAATATTCTAATTTTAAGAGATCATCATATTTCAAATTAAAAGGCGTATTTGGAGGAAATATTGAGTCGATTTCATCAACCATTTTTTGTTTAACATGTGGGGCATGGCAAACGTAGTAGGTTATGAAACCGAATGAATTTGCCGTCTAAGAATTTTTTTTACATTAATAAATATAATTAACAAATATATAATAATTATTGAAAAATATTATTACATTAAAATATTAATTAATTATTCAAAACTTGTTAATACTTACAGTGTCGACTCCTCCTAAGAAAGCATCGAGCAAGTTACCTCTAATCTCATCGTCTGCCATTGGTCTAAAGGTATCATCTTTAGCGATCTTTACATTACTCATATCTCTTTCTGTATTAGTAACAATTAAGGATGTCAACATATCATGCCCTAATTCTACACCCACGGGCGTCTCTTCAATCTCCTTTCTTCTTTTCTTAATAATCATATCTAATGTTTCAAACACATAATCCCGATTATTAATTAAATATTTAACTTTATCTTTAATAAATGGTAAATGATGACGTAAAAATGAACTAAAGTATATAAAGTATGTAGCTCCGAAAAGGTAATCACTAAATCCTTGAATAAATCTTTCCGAATCTTCAATTAATGTATTAGAACTTGCTACTTTCACAGGACTATGAATATTATAATACGACGCTATCGAGTAAGATCTTTCTCCAGTGACTAAAATTACAATCATGTCACTTGTAAATCTACGAGCCCATTTTGATATATCAATTTCAAGTTGCCATTCATTTTTCTCATCTTGTAAATTATCTCCAGTTAAGTTTAAATTTGCAAGAGATTTCCAATATCCTTCTAACTCTTGAACCAACACATTAGCCCATTTAACAGCTGTGATATTAAAACTTGGTGTGAGAATAGCTTTATTAAAGAATTGACGGTTAAATCTCCAACTATTTATATCATGATTTGCTAGAATGCCTTTTCCAGCCATTCCAAGTTCTTCAATACCTTCAAAATATGGTAATCTTATCATGAATGTAGTATCATTAGATGAGGGTGTTAATATTTTTTCGATATATTCAGGAGATGAAATCAAGATCCTACGTGATCCGCCAAGATAAACTTCACATATTTTGCCATATTTTTTATGGAGTGACGTGAATAGGTGTTTAGTATCACCTTTATACAGATAATTACATTCAATAAAGGGAAGAGGTAATGGTCCAGGTAACTTATTAGGACGCGTAAAATATTTATAATAGAATCTAAAGACGTATGCTAAAAAAGAAAATACGATCAGAATAAGGCAGTCAGTAAATTTAAAAGTAGAAATATTGTTGTAAATAGTCATTTTCCAAAGAGATGTTTGTTTGATGAATTTTATTTTTTGGTATATACGCTTTATGATCTATTTATATAATTCACTGACGACTTAAGTACGCACGTACGTACGCAGTAATTAGGTGACTCATACATATCAAATATAGTGCGGATAATAAAATTATACCAAATATGTAAGGTTTACCTGTTGCATCTAAAGTAGCGATTTATCTAAAGTAGCTACTTTAGATATATAAAGTAGCGCCTGACTAAAATTAG